ACAACCAGTATCTTTGAAAAACTTACCGGTAATAGAAGAACAATGAGCATTTCCAACAAGTTTGGGAAGAAGTAAATAAAACAACGTTTTGTCTCTTGGTGCCACTAAGCACATTTTAGTGGCACTAAGAGACAAATTTTTTGTTTTCTTCTTCCCAAACATGTTAGAAATATTAATTGTTTTTATATTAACTTTATAAAAGTCAATTTTTAGACTACAGTTCCTAGAATGCTAATATTCATCCTAGTTGAGGTGTTCAAGGAATCATAGTCCAAAAAAGTAACTTTTGCTGAGTTCTGGTCAGATACCCAGAACAGCAATTCTCAATTCGCATGAAATGGAAGATCTTGGAAACATTTGATATTGCAGCCTGGCTAAGGGGGCAAAAGCAGATAGGACAGAAGACTGGTACATAAGCCATGTTCTGTATGCTTCACCTATCTGTCTCGAGACAGAGTCAAGTTCCAGCATACCTGCTGCCACATCTTGTCTAGTTCAGCCTCAGCCTCCTGCACTCTCTGCAATCAAGAGATGACAATGATATTGACACGTTATAGAGCAAATAAAAATCACTATTTTAAATGTTCCAATGTACCTTATTTATATTTATAAATATTCTGGCGGTCAGGTGTATGGATTTTACTGTAGAGTCTTTAATCATTGAACATGTGTACATTGTTAATGGAAGAAGTAAGAAAATACACAGAGATACTAACTGAATTAATTGTCAAATTTTAGTTTAACAAAGGCATTGAGATAGCATCACCATCATACCTGAAGCTGTAGGCTAGTTTGGGGGGATCAAGCCAGGCTGCACGACAATACATAGTTTTGCTCTCCAATAACAAGAAATGAGAATGGCTCAAGAGAACAGGAGAAATAATATTGCAATTGTCCCCAGTGTTTTCTGCCTGATGGTAGGGTCGGCTCTGGCAGAGTAGAACCGCCATTTTAACAACATCAAAAAATTCTGAACTCTAGAACCACCATGCACTGAATTTCCAGTTCACCTGGATTTCTAACACTGATGGAGATTTTAGTGCCACATTGCAGTCATTCTCAGTGTCCCACTGCCAGAGTAAGATGCACAGTGGTGTCACAAGAGAGGGCTTTTTCCGTGGCAGAATCGCATGTTGCGGAAGCCCCTCCTGAGGACAGTTCAGCTAACCCCCTCCTGCAAATCCACCAATATTGTATTTGATTAATTTTAGTCAGGCAGGCAAGACATGTTTATTCTGCCAAGCTTGTAATAGATTTTCAAAGGTTGTCAACTTATCATCTCTTCCCGTTTGATGCTGTTCTTTAACTGACTGCTTTAAAAAAATGTATTGTTCATGTTATTTATTGTCCTAAAATGTATGTTTAGGGTTGTCAACAACAGTGGAAGTCTTTCATAACATCAAAAAGGAAATACTGTATACTGTATACAAATATATATATATATATTTGTATGTAGTATACAGTACAGTATTTCCTTTTTGATGTTATGAAAGACTCCCACTGTTTATAAAAAGTATATTAAAAAGGGATAACTATTATCCTAAATTCTCTTGTTTTAATTGTAGATACACTAACCATAAATCAGCTTCACCAGCAACATCAGTTCTATTGACCTTAGCTAAAGCACACTCTCGGCAGAACTGCAATAGTAATTTATCTGATCTGTTTTCATGGGCCTCAGAATAATATCAGTAAGAAAGATTAATAGCAAGGCTAGGAATATAAAATGTTGGAATAGTATTTTGTCAACTGATTGTTCCCTTTTTCTTCTTATTTTGTTCCAGTAAAAACATAACAGTTTCCTCCTTAGTTTCAATTTCAAAGATTTGCTGAAACAAACTATGGTTCATGAATTTAAAATATGCACAGGTATTTGAAGATTTCATGAAGAACTGATATTATCCCCAAAGGCCTTTATTCTATTAGAACTATCTACCTTTAGAAATGGAATTATGTTACAGGCTCATAATGAAAGAATCTCTCTGTTAATAAATAAATAAATAAAATTTAAAAATTGCAATGACTGGGTAGGTTCTGTGGCAGAATGATTCTCTCTCCCCTTTAAAAAGACAATATATTTTTTTAAAATCAATTATTTCTAGCCAAAGCTTTGCCTCAGGCATGCTGTTTGCTAATTGTATTCCAAACTTCTTATTCTATTCATCTGAAATTTCTATGTATATATTATCTTTCCACATGGGAAATTATTCTTGAATATATACATACGTGTGACTATTTATGTGTGTGGATGTGTGCATTCAAATGAAGCAAAGATAAACAAACCTTCAATGTTGAGTGTGTGTGTGAACAATGAAGCAATTCAAAGCAATTATCAGAACGCTATGTCACTTCAAATGTCATCCGAATGAATAAAGCTTGGTCTTCTAGAAAAGGCTGAAGTCAATCTGTATGGTTGTAAAAATCTCCCATGAATAGAAAAGGAAATAGGAGTGCACTCCATGAAACAAAGCAGTAGAGATGGCAATGTTTGGGTCCATGCTGAAAAATTCTTGATTTGTACTCATTCAATTAATCCCAGGTGTGGTAGTTTGCAAGATCAACTAACGGAGAATTTGAGTGGTTTTCAGGAAGAAGTGCTTCCTCTTTATTACATAGGAGCTACAGACTTATTTTCACAGCTGGTATTTATATTCAGCAGTAAAAATTTATCTGGTATATTATCCTCTTGTCTAGCCAGACTTGTATTTCTAATTACTGTGTAAGATCAGGTAGCAATTAGGTCAAGATACTGTTGAGATAATTGGAATTGAACTGAGACCAAAATGTGGTTGTACATAGGTAGTCTCCTTGGAGACTTGCTACATATTGAGTTCGTCTCTTGATTGCTGAAGGTAAAATCTTGGAATTCCTGTAAACTGGTCCCTATGCATTGTAGCTGTGCTCCAAGGACTAGTTCAGTAAATCATTCTGGTAAGGATGTTTTGATCTTTTGGAGAACGCAACATCTTCAAAATCAGTTCTTTAGTATCCAAACATGGCAACACACATGCTTGGAGTAGAACTCAATGGAGAATTTGTCACCCCTCCATTGCTTGTAGAATGTCACTTCCTGTATTTCTGAGCATGCCCTGCCCTGTTTACGACATTTTCTAAACTGATGGACTGCATGGATGGTATATACACACATGTACAGCAACATCGGCATGGAATCTATAGCATCAAGGACTCAGCATAAGCTAGTATTCTGGCTTAAAGGTAGCACTGGCCCTCACTCAAAGGAAATGACCATAGGCACTGTTATTTTCAAGTCTGCTGTGGTTTTCTGCAACTTTTCAGGAAGAAATCAAAGTATATGATTGTGCTTTAAAAACTTTAGACCTCAAAGATCTCCTTCCTTACATTTGGACCTATAGGGATTGAATGTATCTTGTGAGTTCCACTCACCTTAGCCTGTACAAACATCAAGGGGCTGTAGAGGTATTTTAGTCGCTGCTCCACTTGAATGTAACTCTCATGCTGTGGAAATTCAAAATAAACGGAACCTCAGCATAATTAGAAGAGTGCACCATTTGGATAGGCATCGTAGTAGCTACGCAGTAGCTGTCGTTTCCTGAGCTGTCATTTCTGGAGGTAGATGTCCCATACCTCACCCCAATTTGAGGAAACAGTGCCCTATAGCCCACACAAAACCAATGCAAAGTTCACAAAGCCAGTCAGGTTGGCACTTGAGGCATCCCATAAATGCCTATCCCACTTCTAGGCAATTTGCCATCACATTGCTTCTGAATTATGGCAAACCTAATAGGGTTTTCAAGAAATTTCAGATGTTCAAGGGGTGGGTTATTATTCCCCCCCCCCAATTAGTTTCACTGACTGAGTAAGGATTCGAATCTAGGCCTTCTAAACCCCAGTAATTCCTCTAAAGCCTGATAAGGGGCTACCCTTGAGGACAAATAAGCTACAATTGGTACAATATGTGGCACCTGGGTTATTAATGGGTGCCTCCCATCACAACCATATATCTATTTTGTGCCAGTTGCATTGGCTGCGAATTGTTTTCTAGGTGCAAGAGAAAAAGCTGGTTATTACTAGAAATGGGCACAAACCAAACTATGACCGTGGAAAACACCATGAATCAGGCTGGTTCATGGATCCCATTTTGCCAAAATGAAACAAAGTGCCGAATTTTTTGTTGCCCAAAATTTGTTGTTACTTTGGTCTATTACCTATTGCATGTGCAAAGACAGCAGGCCTGGCTCCTGGAAGTGACACCAGGCCTCTATCTCTGAAGATGGTGGTGGCAGAGGAGGGAGAGGTGGCAAGAGCAGGAAGGGAGGTGATGGGGGGCAGGGGTGTTAGGTTCCCCTTCCCCCCAGGATCAAACCTGAAAAAATGAATCGCTAACCAGCCACCCTGATTGGTTATTTTTCTGGCTTGTGCCCATCTCTAGTTATTACCCTAAAGTCCTACACAACTTGGAACCTACATACCTACTAGACCACCTCTATCCACATGAGCTCTTTCCCCTTCTACAAGTGCCAACTGTGAAAGTTGTTCGACTTGAATATATTAGAAAAAAATCTTTTCAGAATGCTGCCTGAATGCTTTAAAATCCTTTTCCCGAGTCCCCATGAACTATTAAATCTCTGCAGGGATTCAGGAGGGCATGTAGTGCAAAATTGTTTTGGTGGGCCTTTGGAGCTATAGTGGAGCTGCTATAAGGGAAGCTTACAGTTGTCATTTATAAATAGTCTCCACCATATTACATAAGTAATTGAGATGTAAGAACCAATGCTGTGTCACACAGAAGCAACAGGTGAGTCACGGAGGACCCTGTGGCAGTATTTTCTCACCAGGATCTATGAAAATCCCATTGTGCCATCAAAAGCCATGAATTCTATTATGCTTCACTACAATGGTTTTAAAATGTGACACTTTTCAATGAAACCACCAGAATCTGCTCATGTTTTCTACTTAAATTTTATTTATTCTTTGTACAATGCTTAGATTTTTTTATTTCTGTATATACAAATAACATTTTAAAATATTTTTGTAGCATGCATTATAGCTGTTCTTAATTATATCATCGTTACAGAAGCATTTTTCTTGGTCAAAACCACTGAACAGACTTGTGACATTTAAAAAATAAATATATGTCACTTCTATAAATACATTACTCCCAGTAAAACTCAGCAAAATTATACTGTTCAGCAAAGAATATTTTTCAAGAGTTATTAGCTTCGTTCTAAAGACTGGTTTTTAACAGGTAACCCCATTATTTGGGTTCACTATAAAAACAGAAATACAGTCCTTCTGAGGTCTAAAATATTGGTCCTGATACTATGTTAACTGTTAATTGAAAACTGCTGCACAAAAGATTTAGGTGGTAATGCTATTTTAGCTCATTTCTAACCATAACAAAAATGATATTCATGTTTGCTTCCATTGCAAATAGGTTTATATCTAAAGGCAATCTGCAAGTAAAATATATAGGAACGATTTTTGGGGGGTATGGATTAAGTTTTCATTGGTCTGCATGTATGATTAAAAAGTAGGCTTTGAGGTTTAAAAAATAATAATAATACTGTGTTGCCCCCAAATTGCATAAAACCATTTTAAAGCTTATTTCCATGACTCATTAACTATATGAATATAATTCAGTATTTTTTTCAGAAATATAAAATGAAATCTAACTTCATTTTTAAGTATCTTTTTTGTTTATAAAAACAAGTGAAGGCTCCATGTAATGAAGATCATGCTAGGTTTAGCATGGCTTTTTAATTTTCAAAGGTGTCCATGGTCCAAGCAGAAGTCCTTAGTCAATCTGTTTTTCTTTGAAGAAGCTGTTCCAACAATTGCTATAAGGAAAACAAACAAACAAAAACAAACTTTAAATTATGACATCACAACTTTTGAATTACTTTTGGTTATGGAAAAAAGACGGGGAGATGAAAAGTAAATCATAAATGACAAATAATATTTGTAAGAAATATTAGAAAGTTAGAAGACTTTTATTCCTGAAAGTACGTAAATGTCATAGAAGGAGCTTTTTGCATTTTACTGAAGGCTCAATCAGAAGTCACAGTTAACATGTCAGTTGAAACAGAGCTCCCTTAAGAGGAAAAGAATTTATTCCAGCACAAGCATGACAATCTGCATTAGAATCTGCTCTGCTTTGTAACTAGCCACTAGGAAATAAGCATAGTTTTGTTTTCATTTTTTTTACATATGAGAAACATAGCTTTAAAAGGTATGAGTGCTTAGAGGGATTACACTCTAAAAGGAGAAAATACATGTGTGATCTGACTCTGAGTTTGCTTTGATCTTGAAAAGCTAAGCATGGGTTTCATTTACAAATGTGAATCTTAGACATCAAAGTCTGCCTAAATTAGATCTTTGGAGCACCAATGTGATTTCAGCTCTAATAACAGATCATCTGTAACAGATAGTTTGGCCCAAAAATACAAACATTATTTTGTCAGCAGCCACATATATTCTATAACATTACGAAATCATTTATATGTCAATCATAGAACACACAGCTTGTATGCAGAAGATGCCAGTTTCAACTCCTGGAATCTCCAGACAGGTCTATGAAAGGCATCTGTTTGAAACCCTGGACAGCTGCTGCCAGACAGTGCAGACATTACTGAGTGAAATGACCTGACTTGGTATGAGGCGGTTGTTTCCTAGGCACATTTCAGTCAGTTCCAACTTGATGGCTCGGAATGCACATACAATCTTCACAGAATTATTAAAATGAAGAAAATGACTTCAGGGGAAGTCCAGTTGCCATGACTCAACTTCCAGATAACCTCACCTGGATGACTGAGAATTTTCAGTTTTCAAGAGAATTTCAGAAATATTTATATTTCTGAAATGTGTGGGTGAGATACTGAAAACACAGTAAGAGATGGAAGTGGAAATGTGTCTGTCTTCCACCCCATTCTCTTATCACATAGCTCTGCTTTGTAGAAAAGAGGAACCTTGTTTACCACCCTAGCTATCTCATGCTGCTTTTCTATATTCCTTCCTGGCAGGTCATACCATTTTGTAGCAAATAAGGTATCTGCGAGTAACCCAATGCGGTGAGGTTTTACACACACACATACCTACAGGTAAAGCAGCACTACATTCCGATTGTTCTAACTTTTCTCCTATTGTCGTGAAAACAAAAACGGAAGCTGTCTCTCCTATAAATGAATCCTGAAGTTGTAGAAAAGACACATGACGGGAATGACAGAAATCAGAACACAACCTTTCTCTTTTTACTGCAGCTGTGCACTAACAACCTTTCAAAAGTTTCCACCCAATTCTGATAAGAGAAATCTGAGGTACAATTTTGCAATGCCACTTTCTCCAATGGGTTTCCCAAAAGGAGCGCTCAACATTAGCAATTGTTGTATTGTTTTTTTTCTCCGCCCCCAAAGGATTCCTGTTTTTTTTGCATTGTCACTGCAAGTGGCAACAGCAGCAATTCTGTTGACAATCTGGCCACAGTTTTGCTTCCTCTACAATGCCTTCTGCCCAGTATTATTCTAGGACATAGCGGCAGCAGTTTTGGTAGCGAGGCAAGTATCAAAACCTGGAAAAATTATGAAAAAGTTACATTCTAAAAAGTTACTTTTTGTTTCTCAGGAGTAAGAAACAGGAGATCTCATAATGTCTCTCAAGAGAAAGAAGACTTCTAAAATTTTTTGACCCAGCATACATTATTTTTCAAGATTCGCGATTCCCCCCCCCCCAGGCCTCCAAAATACTGCACATTAAAAGGATCACTGCAGGTATATTTTGCCTCTGTTGCCATTTATTCTAACACATGCTCTTCCCTGTAAACCCTGCAGCAGCATGAGAAAAAGCAGAGTTGTGTCCCGCTCCAGGGAAAAGAACCTAGTGTATGACATAATTTGTCCTCCAATTTCCCTCTTTCTCCATGAAAGAGGTCTCAATTTTGCTGCCTTGCAGTCAGGGGCCCTTAGGATTTCTTTCTGTTACCTTTTTCAACTTACTGTAACATTGCAAGGTGACCCAGCACAACCGTATTTGTTTTTTCCCCCTTTCTATTATGCATCTCTCCATCACCGTTCAGCTCCCCTGGCTGCTCACATTTCCTAATCTGAAAAAGCCCCACGAAAGGAGTAACTTTATAACATCTTTCCCTGGGCTTTAACTGAAGTATGGGAAGTTGGAGGCATTTCTTGCTGCAAGAGATGATTGACTGTACAAATGAAAGATGAGAAGTAAACATAAACCTCTTAGCAAACCTCATAAATAAAGTATGAGAACTATGAACTTTACACATGAGAATTTCTCTTGAGTTTCTCCTCTGAAATTTTGTTCGAAGACTATTTCTTTTCTACCACACTGAATGAAAATGGCTGAAATCCCACAGGACAAATGTTCTGCACAATGTTACATTTTACTATGTAACATGGCTGTGGGAAATCATACCTTTTTGAACACCTCAACTCTCATCCTATTGCTCTGTAAGATGATCCTTTTCTGTTTCTCTTCTTGCTTCTTCTTCACTTCAGGCAGATTGTTATAAATCCTGGAACAGATGAAAAATTAATTTTAGCTCAGGCTATCAGTAAATGCCTGATGAGGCTGACCTTGGAAAGAAGATTACTTTCAGGGGCAGACAATTGTTTTTTTTTAATTGAAAAAAATCAAAATGACCAAACTCCACAAAAGATTTTGTACACTCATTACACTGCATGCTGTTCACCAGCGATGTACTGTTGTGGAATGTGCAATGACTGTAAAAAGCATCCAACTATTCAGAAAGATCCAGAAGAATACAAAGAGAGGTGAAAGCAGGCCACTAGGTACAGTGGTAAAATATCCGGGGCAGCTCACCAGTTTATGCAAATATCCTGGGGAAAGAGCCACTGTTTGCCTTGTGGCGCAGTGTTTAAGTGGTAAAATGAGTACCCAGCTCACTGGGGGGGGGGCAATGTGTAGCCTGCATAATTAACTTGTAAACCGCCCAGAGAGTGCCTGAAGCACTATGGGGCGGTATATAAGCAGCACACTTTGCTTTTTGCTTTTGCATATTTGTGGGAGGTATACAAAGGCATCTAAGTGGCTAGTTTTCAGGAATGTGCTCCAGGCATTCAAGGAGATATAAACTGTGAACTCCACAGGCCTGCAGGAGCTGCCAAGGACAAAGGATGGAAATAGAGAAGGTACAGGAACTGCAAATGAAAGTGAAGGCATTCAAGCCATATCCTAGCAAATTCAATTACTTATCGTGTGGTTGTTATGCTGCTCAGTGTCAAAATGGAAAGTATGTTAAATACTAAAGACAATTGATTTGAAACTAAAGTAAGCATGCATGGGCCCAATCCAGACTAGGATCAGCATGCAGACAGAGGGGCTTGGTTTAAACTTTCATCTGAGGTGTAGACTTAATTTGCCCAGAGCAATAAAATAAAATAATTGGTATTTACATTTTAAAAACAATTTCAAAAACTCTGCCAGATCTATGAATGTGGGGACTATGATTATTCCAAGTTGAAGGTACTGTTTGCAATGCTCATTTTATGTTTTTTAAAATAAAATATTGTGGTCACTGACCAGTCAACAAAAGTCATACATAAAAACAAAGTACAGGAAAAAACAACACAAAGCCAAATACAACTACTCTAAGTTAAGACAGTTAGGAAGTAAAGTAAGTCCTGTTTGTGGAACGCATGTCCTGATTATCATAGAAAAGACATTTGCAACCAACAAAGTCAAGGAAAGATTTGTGTCAGATAATACATAGGATTTGCTCTCTCTGCCTGGAAAATAAAAATTGCAATAGAGCAAGATACATTGCAGAGTCTCAGGAATCCCCAAACCCACCAAGGTAGTGATCCATAAAGAGCTTGAGATTTCTTAAATAATTGGCCCCCAAATGGATATGCCACCAAAACTAGGTGCTGATGATCATTAACATATATATATACTCTCTGAAGAAACAGTTCTAACTCTTTCTTCAGCCAGAGATGGAAATTCTACTGGGAAAAGTCCCAGTGATGTAAGTTTGGAATGGAGATTCTCAAACCATGTATTTCTATGTGAATCACATCAAATCACTCTGCAGGAATTACTATTCCCATAACAAAATTTGATCCATCGGGATTCTTTGGTACTGAAGAGAGAAGTAAAATGAATCAAGATCAAGATGCAGCAAGGATTTAAGATGCTATCTAAGATCTTTCCTACCTTTTTGATCGCATATGCATTTCCTTTTCTGAAATGCACCGTTCTTTTGGCTTGAAGAGATTATCTATACATTGGAAAACAGAGGTTACATAACACAGACATATTAATAGACTTCAAAAGGGACATTTTAAAAGTTGCTTTTTCTATACAAATTCGCTCAAACAGACATTAAAGCTATCACACAGTGAGAGACATTATTTGTTCCCTGTTGACTTTTGCATATGTGTGTCTTTTTCTCAGTATACACTGAAGGACTGAGCCATTTTTAAACCTTCTAAATATTTGTTAGACTATTTGAAATATTGTTTAATTACTTTGCTATATCTTTAAAAATACAATTTGGAGTAAAACATGCCCAAAAATCTGCCAAATGACCCACCAAGACCCGATGTTTTAAGACGAATGAATAAATGTTACTATTTACATTGGAGAAAATAATGGCATTATCAGTTGCTACATTACCTTGAAAAAATAACTTTCTTATGCCTTTTTTACTCCCCAAAGACTTCAGTACAGGTGATGTTATTTCTTTTAGGGCACTACAGTACTTGCAAACTCTTGGCTTAGCAGATCAGGTGTTGTTGTTTTTTTTCCCTACAGCTCAAAGCGTAATTCATACTGTAATATTGTTTTCTTCAGTATTGACAAGATTACCAAATCCAGCATGGTTCTATGAAAGCCACAGAGCCCAAGCCTTTAAAATGCTTAATTTCAATGGTGATTTTAAAGTGAAAAGACAGTAGATTGCATCACTTCCATATTAGGAAAACTGGAGACCCTAGGCCAGGCCTTTATTATTGTGTTTGGTCCAAATCATGTCCATGATTTGGGGGGGGGGGGCAGGATCAAGTACAGACCTTTGATATTTCCTCAACCTAGCAGCATATATCACCTGAATGGGGTTCACAGACCACTGTTTGAGAACTAAACCATTTTGAACATCTGACTGGAATCTAGTTTAGCTTCATTCTTTGAAATCCCTTCATCCTTGTGGAACAGCACTTTTACTAGTTATGATGGAGTTGGAGAGTCCTGTCTAGATGGTGGAGATTCTGCATCTCTTTCTTGAAGTTGCTCCTCTCCTGACTAATAGGGGCAGGAGTAATCAGAGGCAGTGTGGACTGCCTTTTCCTGCTCTTAGCAAGTTAAAGGAGTTGGGTAAGGTTCAGCCAGTTCCTAGACAGCCAAGCTGTTTCCATCCTCCAGTTCTGCATTTATGTGATCTAAGCAACTGGAACTATTGTTTCTGACTTGGAAAATGCTTGCAGGTAACTGCAAAGTGGATGGGAGTAAACAGGTTAAAGCTGAACCCAGTTGTGCCAGGTAATGCTGCTGAGTCATCCTGTGGAATTGGAAACGGTCTTGCATGACTGGGAAAAGTGGCTTTCTCCATCACTGATTTGGGCCTTGATCTCCCTATAGGAGCAAGAGGGAGAACCTTGGAGTGCATCTGCAACAAATACTGCTTTCATCAAGCAGGTGGCAATTGCTGCCAGAGTTCTTTTTTACCAATTGTATTCCTTGCATGGACTTCATGCCTTGAATGACAGAATGGATTTTGCAATGGCCATCCCCATTTTTTTGTAACTTCAGGCCTTAATTTGTCATGGATTTCCTCACGAGGTTGTTTGTGAAGTCAACTTCAAAGCTTTGCATAATGTAAAAGATGTCGTCTTACTTCCTTATGAATGTTTTGAAGAGTTAACATGTTTGTTCTGTCTTGTTTCATCTGCAGTGTGCTTCAAAGGCTCATTTGTATTGACAGTTCAGTTTTTGTATGCCTTCACAGTCTGAGACCTACATGTCTCAGATACTCATTGTCCCTGCCTCTGTCCCCAGGACATTCAAAGTAGATGGCCATCGTTCAGCAGGGCGTGGCAATTTTCCTTCTTGTTGTTAATAAAGAGACAGAAAGCTTGTTAAAAGTCAGTTGTTGTTGTTGTTGTTGTTATTAAATAAAGAGACGGAAAGCTTGTTAAAAGTCGTATCCTCGTGGCTCAGTTTGTGAATCAGCTATGGTAGAAGCTAAAATATCATCCAAAAAGTGGCTAGAGAGATCCTGGAAGGTATGCAATACAAACAGAACCCTTACCAGGATGCAAAGGCAAGGCACCATGATTTCAATGTGGGGAGTAAGTGTTGGTCCTAAGCTCTAAATAATGTGGGAAAATCTGTTTGTGGTGAAGAAGAAACTTAGTGCTGTGAATTACCTAGCTGAAATATCTAGAAGTGGACTTAAGCCCAAAGTTTATGATGTGAATAGTTTAAAAAGCAAATGAGAGCAGAAATGAGAGGATTCCTGCTTGCATTACTTAAAAATGAAGGAAAACAGTAACAGATGGGTGATGGGAAATCATGTTCCTCTTATGGAATCATTCTGATGTGTGAATTATGATGTGTTATGCAAAATTACTATTCATTTTTTTATGTTCTCTACTCTTAAGCCGTAAAATATCTTTCAATGTTGTTTCTCTACAGAAAGGTTTTTCATATAGTAGTCTGAAGCTTTAAATGTTAAGCTTAGCCGTAATGGACTACATTGTCTTAAATGGGTTTTCATGAGTGTTAGAACTATTTCAGCTTTATATGTATGCCATAGCCAAACAACAGCAATGCATCTACCTAGTATGGTACACATATTACTGACAGGGTGTCTAAATTTTTGTTGATTGCTATGAGAACTAGAGAGGAAATGTTGCAATCACCCTGAGGGGAAAAAAATTATATACTACATATAGGAGATTTTTCTGTATGTTCTGTATGCTTTTTAATAATCTTGCTGGTCTGTGACCGTAATAAAGAATGATGACGATGATAATACTGCAATGTATCTTGTTCATCTACTGTTGCAACAAAAGGGAAATATATTTTTAAAAAGTTAAAATGGTACGGTAGATTAAAATAAGGAGGGAGGTGTTTCTCTGTCATCCCTTTTCAATACCACAACCCACCAAATATATCACAGCATTATCACCTTGGATAATACCACCCACAGCTCTATTTTGGTGACTGCAGTGTCCTCTGTGTGTCTGGTGTTTGCAAAACAGGTGTGTGGCCAGTCATGTAAAGGAGACCTCTGTCCTTGTATACACAGGTTTTCAAGAGGATTCCAGCTGTTGCATTTCAGTTTAATTTGCCTTTGTGAATACGTTGTTGCATTTCAGTTTAATTTGCAAGTCCCTTTTATATTTATATTCCTATCCTACACTGGTAGAAAGCCAGGGTATAATTAAATATGAGAATAAATAAGGAATATAAGCTAAACTAGGTCAGGTGGAAAGACATCAATGCCCTTATCTTCTGTTGTTTTCCATAGCTTTGTGTGTTTTAGGGTTTTACTTCATGCATTTCACTTTAAATGGACAGCACCATAGGGAGTACAGCACTTTTCACAATGTTCCAGCCAACTCTCCAGCTTTTGTAACCATAGCTTTTACTCCCTATTTTGCATTGATTCTAACCAAGTCAGAGATGGATCACCATCCCTATCCCACCCACTTCAGGAATTTGGGTGATACTACCAGACAGCAATGAGACTGTATATTTTTATTAGAGAAACATGAGCATGTTTAAAGGATGCAGAAAAAAATGACTGCACTAATACATGTTTGTGGATTATATTAGGGTGGAGGGAACAGCATGGGAAAGTTTGGCTTTATCACAAAACATGATGTTATCAGAGATGGACCCAACAGACATGCTGAACCTCGGGCCAAATAACAGGACTCCCTCTCCCCTGGGCAGGACTCCATGAATCAACATGGCTCTTGATTCAAAACAATGTTCTACATCACTGAAAAAATCAGAATAAAATGATGTACTTGAGGACATTCTCTGGCTATGAGCACCGCAAGAACTTTACTTTGGAGCATTCATGCATCCAAAGAACCATCTCCAAAAATTAACTTCAGGGACTATTTAGGAGAAAGCCAGGGTGGGGCAACGAGACCTTTAGAACCCAGTCTTAAAAATAATTAATAACAAATGAAAGCCTTTTACAAATCTGTAGGAACGAATACTGTCACTTTTTAAAGACCATGGAAGACCAGCACATAATGTAGGTCCTTAACACCCTGACCTAACCATGCTTTGTTTCCTCAGAAGTTAAGTGCACTGATTTCAATGAGCCTTCTCTCTAAATAAGTATGGTTGGAGCCCTTCAGTCTATGTTTGTCTATACAGTGGTGCCTCGACTTGCGAATGTCCTGACATGCGACCATTTCGAGTTACGACCAGCTCCAGCCACAAAATTTTGCTTCTACTTGCAACCAGAGCTTTGAGTTACAACCAGAAAAAGGCAGGGAAAAAAGGCAGGGAATTCAAATATCTAACTGTTGGTGGCGAAGAGGCTTCTTCTTTGTAGCTCTTTCTCCCCAGTGGTTAGAGTGTGTGCGATCAGAGGAGGCCTCAGACTGCCTGGTAAGGTAAGGCGCTGCTTTCTACTTTTTAAGAACTGTTCTGGGTGGGTTTTGCAGTGTGGTTTTGGGGTGGTTGGTGGGATTATGCATCAATGCTGTGATGGGTCTTGCAGGGTTTGTTTGTTTTTTCGGGGTTTCCTCTCCATTTCCGATGGGTCCTGCAGGCTTTGTGCTTTTTTTGCATTTCCAAAGGGCGTTGCACGGTTTGTTTGCTTTTTGCTTTGCTTTTTTTGCATTTCCAAAGCGTCTTGCACATTTGTTTGCTTTCTGCTCTTTTTTGCATTTCCGATGGGTCTTGCGTGGTTTGTTTGCTTTTTGCTTTGCTTTTTTGCATTTCCGAAGGGTCTTGCACGGTTTGTTTGCTTTTCTTTTTTATTCCCCTTTGGCTGGAATGGATTAATTGCATTTCCAATGGGTCTTGCAGTGCATTTTAGGTTTTTGTTTTTTGGTGATTTTTTTCTTCGGCCAGAATGGATTAATTGCATTTCAATGCATTCCTATGAGAAATGGGGCTTCAATTTACGGCCATTTCGAGTTATGACCAGAGTTCTGGACCCAATTAAGTTCGTAAGTCGAGGCACCACTGTACTTATTCAGATGCCCCATTTAGTTTAATGGGGCTTTGGTTCATGCACCTGATCCTAGG